GAACAGAGTTGACGGATTAAATCGGGTTGTCATACAAATAACATATTAATCTGCAATCTAATTAAGTCCTGAGTTCGCAAATCATAAGGGGGGCAATCACCGCCGCGCTTCTACGGGTGATGATGCACCACCAATATAGATAGCATGATCAACGCTGAAACCCGCTGTAATTATAGCTTCATAGGGCGCTCTGGAGAAAAGATACTGCTAAAGTTATAGCGGCATCTGGCATTATGCGCCCTGTATTTACAGCACGTTCCGCCTCGTGTACCTGTTTTTCATCCCCACCATCAGGATAATAATGCAATCCTTATCTTATTATCAGAAGATGTACGAATTAAGGATGGTAGCTATGGTAGCAACGATGGCAATCGGCACCCAAGATCGCGACAATACCAAGACGGCGGCTCCGCTGTCAGGGTCGTCCAACCCGTCATTCATCGTATCGAGGGACGCCCTCGCAGGCCCCATGGTCTTGACACATGATAACGAGGCGTCCACATCGGTTACGAGGCTTCCATTTCCAGCAGAATAGAAGACCGTGAGGACCGGTGTGATAGCCCACTGGGCTTTCTCCGCATCTTCAACGAGGTCCGTTCCCTGTTTGCGAATTTGTTAGCTAAAGCCTTGGGATCCATGGAATGCATGGGAGAATGGAGTGCGTACCGTGGTTTGGTACTCGCTGACCAGAGTAAGTTCATCTTGCTTGGGAATTACAGGCCAGCAGGTCGACGAAGAGTTCTGCTGCTGGGACAGGGACTGCGGCGCGCCCTCGCCAGTCAGAGCTGGAGATTCACCGCCTTAGTCAGCCACCAAACTGCAGTTGTTTTTACTAATCAGACTGGAACTTACCAACGCCGACGAAATCGGTCCAGTCCCCACCGTCTATCGGAGCGCAGGCATCATCCTTGCCGTCCTCCAGGTCCTTCTGCAACCTCGCGCACGTGTCTGAGATAGAGGGCCTATCGTCCTCTTTGACATACCCGTCAACGAGGGTGCGTACCCGCAAGACAAGGGCATCAACGCACGACGAGCCCATGGCGTCGGCGCACGTCCCCTCGGCGGTAGCAGCCGTCTTGTTCTGGCCGAACGACAGCGACCCGGATACCCCGTGCAGGAATACGGCGCACGCACCCGTCCAGTTGCTCAAGTTCAGATCCGCCGGCGTGCCCAGGTAAAACGAGCTGTGGAAGGTCCGCTGCGCGTTCGCGTCGGTGATGTTGAAGCCTTTGACCCACGATAGACCTGAGAGCGCCGAGTTGCTAGTCGGCACGCGCGTGAGGCCGATGCTGGGGAACGACCCGGTATCTGCGATGGAGCAGTTGTCGTTCACGTTATCGGCCGCCGCCGGACACTCGACCTCGACGCAACCGACGATCGTCTGGTTGAGGTCTTGGGCTTGCACGGCGGCAACAGCCAGCGCGGTAATGGTAAGCGTAGAGCGCATATTGTGAGATTGAGATGGAGCAGAAGAAAAGCAAAATACAAAATTGAAGGTTAGTAGATTCTAACGAGGAATGTAGGTCGGATGTGTTATATTATCAAGCAGGTTGTTAACGACAAAAAACAAAAAGAGTTCCCAGCACTGCCTTCGGGCTGTACCAACCTTTGCAGCAGATGAGACAGACGAATGCTACGAACCTGATAATGATACTAGATTCGAATTTCTCTGTTCTCGGGTAGGATTGCTCTGGTCGTCTGGGCGTCCTATTTAAAACTTACCTGCATGTAAGTATTACGAGCTCGACATACGATTTTCTCCTGAATCTACTCATTATGACCAAGGACCTCTACTTGCTGCGCCCATACGTAAAATAGCCATGACGAGTAGTAGTAAGGTCTTCATGTCGACCTTGGATGCAAGGGGTAGGACCATCTCCCTCCCAGCCTCCTTCGAAGCGGCCGACATTACGATGTTAAGCGCGCATACGGCGAGGCTGTCAGATGTGGTGGGATTGCCAAGATCACCTGCCCGAAACGGCCGTGCGATCGGGCGAATAGCTGCTGTGACGTTGGATTAAAATTAGTATACAGATCTTCGCCAAGATCGATGCCCAGAACAATCTCACCAATTGCAACTAAGCAATAAAACTCAGGTAGGGAAAGTCCCAGCAGACTCGCCTGAGGGAGCTGAGCGAGCGGGAGGTGAGGGAGTACTAGAGTTGACTACGAGGCTGAAACATTCAACTTCGATAATATACATCACACGAAAGAATATGCGAGTTCATCAAAAGTCGCATAAGAGGCACAATCGCTTACTTACCTCACCACACTATGACCCTTCCTCATTTCCACTTCGGGCTTACTCTTTCCCTGTTACCTAGGTACCTTGGAAGTTCACCTTCCCGGAAAGTAAAGAGATATTTCCTATGATGCAGTCCCAATATAATCATCTCTTGTCAAAGAATGCCTTCAAGAAGCTTATTCGCTCATCAGAAGACGACCGGGATAGCCGCAAATATTTTGGGACTAATCCTCTCGCGAGAGCTTCAGCTGAATATACAGCCTCGATGCTTTGACTAAATAGAGCAATAAAAGGCGAGGCTCTGAGCCGTATGACCGCTGTCGACGTCGACGGAAAATTACAAGGAGACTTAGCCTTGCTCTCAGTCCTAATCCTTCGATATCTTAGAGTAGGCAAAAATAGAACGAAGTTCACGTTTATGTTTTTGATATCAGAGTGTTAGATATAAGATCTCGTAGTTATCATCCAAACGAAACAAATTATATACCGCAGTTCACCAGGAATCAACGACTCTCTCAAGACTCGCTATCTACACTCTTTCAAGCACCCTATATCCTCTCTCATCTACCTAATCCACAGACCATAACCCTATCATTGTCTCATCCTATTGTTTTATTTTAGTCCATAATGGCTGCAGCAGGAATTATAGACGCCATCGGCGTGATCTCGGGTCTCCTCGGTATCTTCCAATTCGGCATCGACAACTTCGCGGAGCAAAAGTCAGTTGGCTCGACCATTCGGGTTACTGTCGGTCTCGACGTGAGTACCTATAGCAAAAATGCTAGAAGAAAATTGCTAACACGATATGTTCGATACAACCAGACTGCAGGCGGTCTTAGCAACGCCGGCGGCGACCTTCCCGATGTCCGCCTCTTTAACGAGGCCGGCAAGTTCATCGGCATCAAAGCCGGCCCGGGCAAGGTGAAGGACGGTGGCTTCGGCGATATCACAATTGACCACAACGACGATACGACTCAGCAGCCTACATATGCCCTTTTTTCGGCAAATAAGGACGCTATCTGCGTTGCTTATACTGCGATCACCTGGCCTAACGGCGATAAGTACACCTGGGTTGGCAACTGGGGCCATCAGTGCGGCGGCACCTGGTACATAGCCCCAAAACAAGAACGAAAAGAACATTAAGAACAACAAAAACTAACACGAGCGACTCAGGTATTACTCGAACGTATACGTCAGCGGCAGCAACGAGAAGCCCGACTGCCTGTGGATCGACGGGAACAACGACCAGCCGCAGTCAGGGTTCCAGGTTCACTGGCCCGAGTTCGTGCAGAAGGAGGACGACACGCCCATCGACCAGATCGACCAGAGCGCCAAGATCGACCGGCTGTGCAACGCGGGACCGCCGTTTAAGATGTACAAGTACGCCGACGTCCACGACCCCAAGAGCCTCACCTACTGGACCATCAACAACAAGCGAGACGAGAATGATAGCGCCACAGAGGGGACCGCGGTTGCCTACGCACCGTCGAAGCGTGCCGCGTCGGCCAAGTTCGGCTCGTCGCACTACCCCCGGTCCAACGGCACGGCTGCTGCCGGTGGCAGCAACCCGCACCTCAACCGCCTGGTCATGAGCAGCGCAGCGCAGCACACGGCAGCCGGTCTCTGCGAGAGCGAGACTTCGCTTGGTCCTGACTTCTTGAATGTCGCAGATGGTACCTTCTGCCGCATGTCGGACAAGACGCTGTGGCCCGTGTGCGACGCCACCGCCAACATCGTCGATAGCTGCTTTAACAAGGACAGCCAGCAGCTCGTTGTGAACGGTCTTGCCACGAGGGATTCGCCGTACGAGCATGTTACGGACTGGACGTCGGCCTAAGAGTCTGGTTCTGAAAGATAGTCTGGGATTGGACTAGTAGGGGGCTACTAGGTATTTGATTCTAGGGGAAAATGGGAGCTTCGCATGGTTCGGCAGCGGTATTTGCTTCATTGTTATCAAGTTATTCATGTATTATCTATTACCTTATATATAGGTACCTACATTTGATGCGACACATACCATTGGAACTTTCTAAAGTAATTCATTTCTAGCAAATGGAATTATATAACTCCCATACTTGAGATATTTGACGGGGTATGTATGAGCTTACTGTTGTAACATTCACTTAAAAGCAGTAATTAACGTCAGAACTACAATAACACGAAGACCGCAAAGCCAAGATAAGCCTCACCTGGTGTAAAATCAAGCACCTGGAAGTTTCTCTTGTACTAGATACAAGAAGCCAGCTGGTTCGAATCCAGCGGTGGGTAAATTCTTTTCCTTTTTTTCTTGTTTTTTTCCTCTGCCTTGAAACTCTTTTAAATCAATTTCTCTAAGGTAACCAACCTAGCTTGGTTCGTAGTACAAGGCATCATGGGCCTGGTCACTCAGCTTGAGTTGGATTCGGCCAGTTCGGGAATTGTTTATGCACAGGCAACTTCCAGACATCTATCAGAAAGTCAGCACACACAGGGTTGTCTTGAGAGTGGCCCCAAAGGCCGACGATATGAGCAGCATAGTATATATATATCACGATAAACGTAGTCACCTAGATACGTAGCAAATGATAAAGGAAGGTCGTATAGAAGAACGAAGTTAAGTAACACCCCAGCGATCTCTTAATGTCAGCGCAAAGTGTCACCAAGCACCCCACAATAAAATTTGATTAGTGCGTGCCCCTATCACGAGATTGATAGACAAAAACATATTTGCCATCTTATACGAAGTAGGAAAGCAAATGAACGCGGCAAAAGATAACTGCCCATCCTGGGGTCGAACCAGGGATCTTCTGATTTGTCTGTTTACTAACAGTCAGACGCCTTAACCACTGGGCCAATGGGCACTTGTCAGGGCGCATGTCGACGATAACAATAGATTGCTAATGAACAAGTTATCCATTGCATTAAGATACTGTGGTTGGTTACGTCTTACCATTAGGTAATTTCATCTGATATGAAGCAAGAACTCATGGGTTCCTGTTTTAGATGTGAAAGGAACAAGCAGGCGACCTCGGCCACACCAAAGCTCTATTGAGTACCGAGAGTAGAGATGGTCCTCCTTTATCTCTTAAGAATATATAGGGTTCAACAGCTGTCAGTCCGCAGCTCTTCATGGAACGACGTTGTTGTCTCCTCATTGCTTGGTTGGCCTTAGAACATGCGGCGTAATTTGCAGCATCTCGCGAAATCGATGAACGGAGGGTTACTGCGTGAAGGCCTAAGGGCTTGAAAAACCACGCTTGCTGGGGCTTTTTGACATTACAAAGACTGGTAATACGGCGACATAGCCAAAAATCTGCATCCGGCTTTGGGCACGCCGCTGCGCTACTCACCATAAACCCGGACCCTCACGGCATGCTGGAGCCAGCCACGAAAAAGCTGCAAAAAAAAAAAAGAGGATGGGTTTGATGTCTTGGTAGAGCGCCTATTGTCTTGTCCTAGATAAAGTCTTTCCAACTGACCCGAGCAGGTTGAACGAGGCTTCTGCCGAGGTGGCTATAATCCACCGCCGCCACGCACCTCACTAACATCTACTCCGCCAACAAGACTAGAGGTGAGTGGACACGGGAGAACAAGCCGCCGTTCACGACAAATGCGAATCTGCCAAATGCGAAAATTGGACGGCGGCCCACCCGGGCTTCCGAAGCACGCTTCACCAGATCTTAGATCAAGATACTTCCAGGCTGGAGAAAAGCGAGACTGTAAGTCCGGATTGTCTGTTCGCATTCGGCCGCCATAGTAAGTGGTACGCGAATGCCCTCCACTACGTCGCACTGTGTACCGTGGCTCTTTTTCATCGCGACGTCAACGGGCGAACGCTTGTTCGTGTTTGCGGACACTTTCAGATGGAATGACATGCTGCGGGTAATGAACAGGGCATTCCCCGACCGCAAGTTACCTAAAGCGAGTAAATTTTGGTTACTAGCAAAGCACATGAGCAAGCTGCTGAATAGACTCATTGGGCACGGATGGGCGAGCTTACAGGATTGAGTAATAGACACAACGAAGGGTCTGGCGATGAAAGAGCTGGTTCTCAAGACATTACTAGGTTACCTACCGTAATGTATATCCGTACGCCGTATGCCCCACGAGGCGGGCCGATAGGGGTGGAGCCTGGAAGATAGGAGAAGTAAGAGGGCAGTGTACGAGTGATTAAAAAGAATCCTGCAATCTTTTTAGTATCATAGGTTGAATTTGTCAGCCGATTGAAAACGGGGCCGATGAGAAAAGATGACCAGAATCATTAACAAGACGGGATGGGAATCGCGCCGACTTACCTAATATGGTCGACGTCCACCGGTATGGCATCTCCACGAAAACTTGCAAGAGTGGGGTGAGAGGGTGGTACGGGGTGGCATTAAGCATGTCAAGATGACACAAACGGCGTAAGTGAAGAGTCATGCAGCTTTGCATCTAAACCTGGAAGGGGCATCTCCAATATATTTCCACCCTTCAGCTTTAGCTACCTGGATAGTACATAAACCTTCGACCCCGCTCGCTCAGAAACACATACATTCACATATCACGAACCTCAACCATCCAAAGGCCAAGCTTCGTGGTAGAAATGGCTCCCAAGATCTTTCTGTAAGTGAAACGTACGAGGATGCGAGAAATCTGAGAGCTAACCGGCGAGAATAGAACTGGCGCCACCGGTAAGCACCCAGAAATAAGCTTTGGAGATGGCATCATATGTCTTGGCGGTTTGCTGAAAACTGAGAAACGCAGGCTACATCGGTGGTGACGCTCTCTACTCGCTCGTCAAGGCGCATCCGGACTACGAGTACACAGTCCTCGTGCGCAACGAAGAGCGAGGCAAGCCCGTCGCCGCTGCCTACCCCAATGTCCGGCTAGTCTACGGCAGCCTCGACGATACCGAGGTCATCGAGAAGGAGGCCGCAGCTGCGGACGTCGTGGTTCGTAAGTATTAGGTAGCTTGGAAAGTTCTGGTAAAAGAAACTAAGCTTCTAACCCACCACATCTAGACACGGCCGACTCGTCTGACAACATGCCGTCCGCAAAGGCCATCGCCAAGGGCCTAGCCGCAGGCCACACGGCCGAGAAGCCGGGCTACTGGATCCACCTGTGCGGCACCGGCATCCTGACCTGGTACGACGCGGCGCACGAGCGTTATGGGCAGGCGCCGATTCCCGAGCAAAAATACCACGACATCGACGACATCGAGCGCATCGTGTCGCTGCCGGACAGCGCCATCCACCGGGACGTCGACAAGGTCGTCATCGCCGCCAACGACTTAGCAGGCGTCAAGACCTTGATCGTGGGACCCCCTACCATCTACGGCACGGGCCGGGGCCCGACCAACACGCGCAGCATCCAGGTCCCCGGGATCGTCGACTTCACGCTGACGAACGGGTTCGCGCCGATCCAGGCACCGGGACTGACGGAGTGGGATAATGTGCACATCCACGACCTGGGCGACTTCTTCGTGCTGGCCGTCGAGGCCGCGCTGGACCCGGCCAAGAACTCGAACCCGGAGATCTTCGGGCCCCGCGCGTACTTCTTCCTCGAGAGCGGCGTGCACAAGTGGAGCGAGGTCAGCAAGTGGGTGGCCTCCGAGGCTGCCAAGCAGGGGCTCATCCCCGAGGCTATCGCCAAGGAGATCGATATCCCGAAGCTTGGGACTAACTCTAAGAGCGTCGCCGCCAGGGCTAAGAAGTACCTGGGCTGGGAGGCTAAGGCGCCGAGTCTGAAGGAGACGATCCCGGATGTCGTCGCTTTCGAGGCCAAGAAACTGGGCAAGGCTTAACTGTGCGTGCATTGAGTCGTTGCTGTGTTTTGTATGGATTGACGATCTTCTTCACGATAAGTTTGTAATTGTCACGAAAGGCGCTAGGCTAGGAGTGTGCCAGTAAGGATACGTTAAGATGCAGAGTAGGGGGTTTTCAGTGGCCCATGGAGCAAAATCCACCATATTTCAAATTGCCATCCTACTTACTACAGCTACTCTTGTCTTCGTCACATTCTTCAGAAATTGCAGGTGTGTGCACATCATGGGTGCTCAATGTCGAAGTACACCTTGACCTCAACCTCGTTGCTCCAACCGGAATCCAGACCCATTTCCCTCCATGCCGTCTCAACATCAATGTTCAATACGTGGTCGTCGGCCGAATTGATGTTGACCGTGTGGGTCGGGATAGGTTCGCCCAAAACAGTGATCATGAAATCTCGCTCAATCGACATGTTTGGAAGATCCGAGATATACACCCCTTTGCAACTAGTTAGCGTCTTGATCTCAAATCTCATGCCACCCCATCATTATGACTTACCAAGAACTCCCAAGGCTTTGAGTCGGGTATCGAAGAACACCCTGCCGGTATGGAGCAGTTTGGATTGATACGTGAGTATAGCGGCTGCCCCTGTCATTTTGCCGATGAGACCCAAGTTGGCGATGTAGATCCTGCCGTTTGTTTCACTTTGGAATTGGGCCACGGGAAAAGCCGTGAAGATGTCGTAGTCGCGAACATCCAAAGACACCCTCAGCATGACGGCAGGAGAACTAGGATACGCTACAGACGTGACAAGGCCGCTACGATGCGCGCGCACTACGTACTTCGTCGTAGATAAAACCCCCGGAAACCGCGAGAGTGGTATAAGCTCCCCCAACTGCTGTCGGGAAGTATTGAAGACACCCAGCACCGGAGTTCCTGTCACGGCTCTACCGTTATAACTCCCAATCTTGAGGACAGAAGGCTCGTCGTAGCTAGTGTATGGGTCAATACTCTTCCCGACGACACTAGGTCGGAAGATAACTGTTTGGCCGCGAGGAGTCGGTCCTGTCATTTGGTTGATTAGGTCGATGTCATGCTTCCCCGGAACATCGGTGATGTAGATCGGCCCGCCGCTGAGACATCTCGCAGCAGCGTGGAAACCAGCGAATTCGTGGTCGGTTTGGAACATATCCCAATCTGGCAGGGTATTCAAATGCTGCGTAAGGAGAGAGTTATGGGCGTTACAGAAAATATGCCACGGGTGCGAGTCGGGGATATCGGGATAGAAGTCGTCAGAATTCCGTACAAGCATAACTGGCCTGTTACGTGGCAATTGCTGGTGGAATAGATGCTGCGGTGCTTGAGACATGCAAGAGATGGCTCTGATGCTGAAGTGTCTAAGAGCTGCAACCATCCACGTATCGAGATATTTCTCGGTGAGTTCCCGACGATGTTCTGCTGAAACCCAAGTATCAACCATGTATTGGACATCCGTCTTGACACCATCGATCCCACAATCCGAAAGGAACTTGTAGAAATCATTGTAGAACTTGCCGACGTCTTTTTTGCAAATAACGATCATTGGTCCTTGTGCGTTAGAATCCTCTCGATCGACCTGTACTGTCTTATAAGTCTTTGCAAGCTCGCCACCGGCCGAGATACCCCCCCAATATCCGAGCAAAGCATGCCAGACAACAATACTCTGGATATTTGGGTGTTTTGAGCGGATACGAGAGACTGTGTCCTTGAGTCCGCGAGGGAACCCTGTAGGTTCAGCCTCGAACCCTTTCCAGCCATACTGGTACTGGTCGTCGCCTTCATAATCGATGTCTTGCCAGTTGTCATCTATGATGAGCGTACTAATGTTAATGCGGTCCTTCGATAATGCCTCGACAGCGTCGATTATCTTCTCATCTGTTAAACGCTGACCTAGAGCATTCCATGTGCCTATTGATGTTAAGTAATACCCAAGGGGGATCAATTGCCACGATGCTTACAGTATCCCAATCCGTCATACCAATTCTCGTACCACTCGGGCTTAACATCATCAGTCAGGGTTTGAAGTTCTCGGGCAATTTCACTGTCTCCGTTTCCTGTAGCTAGTACAACATTTCGTG